TGAATGTACTTTTGCAAGTAATCTTCCAATTCTTTATTACTTACATAACCCACAAAAACTGTTTATATTGATTCCAGGAGTTAAGAATTCATGGTCTTTATACTACAGAGGTTTCACATTCTATCAGTCTACCCCACCATTGCTCCCTTCCAGAGAAACCACAATCCTTACTGAGGCAAGAAGACCTGGGCCACAGCTGTATGGCCCAAGAGAGGACATCAGTACCCCGAAGACTGCCTGGTGAAGACCTTTGGCCAAAGGGATGCTAGTTACTACAGAATTATCATAGTCCCTTCCTTCTTGGCCCACACAGATCAGTTAGGTTGTGGGGTCAGGAAGACATGAGGAGAGAAGCCAGAATGGAAATTATGAGCCACGTTGATGGTCGAGAAGTAGAATATGGACTGATCAAGCACTGTCAGTGCAGATACATCCTGAAGTTGCAACAGATCAGAGACAGTCTTCCTGGTCCTGAGTTAGGTCCCGTCTCCATGAGATCTGGCCAGACTATAGCTCTTTCTCATCCTGAAAGGCCCCTGGGATTCCCCCCAACTTGCCATATGTCTGAAATTGTTTTATTTTCTCATGCATCCTAATTTAAGCCTTCCATTTCTTAAGGTAACTTGAATGAGTTTTTGTTCTTGTGATCAAAGACGCTTATAAGGGCCCCACAACAAGATGTCTGAGAGTGTTCCTTTTTCTCTTTACTAACTATAAAACAATCTCAGATCTCCCATCTGACGGCCTACACATAACCTCACAAATTTGGGGGCTACTTTGCCAATATTTGCAATCACAGGGAAAGAAAAGAAATGGCTAGCAAAGCCTATCTCCCTTGGATTGTCTTTAAATTGCCTTTGCTGCATTTTTTTCTCCTGGTCAATCGCTGCCATGTGTAGATCACCTTTTACTTTCAGTAGATGTAGAAGGTTCAGCCACAATAAGTCAAGAATAAAAACCTAGCATTCTATGGCAGCCTTAGGAGTCTCCCCACCCACTGTGGCACTGACAGATCCCTCTCTGTGACTTCTAGGTTGATTTCAAGGTTCAGGCATCAAGTTTTCCACTGGCAAAACTTGATTCTTCTGGTCCCTATAGAATAAGATTAGCTCTTAAAGCGGTTCCAGCACTGGGGAAGGATCAGGTCATATCAGAAATTTATGAGCCAGCCCCTCAGAGCACCTGCACCTCCCCTAACTCTAACTACTCCTCTCTCCTAAAAAAAAAGACCCTACCCATCTCTCTAGCAGCAGGTGATTCTCAATCACAGGCATATCTGGAAATGTGGCAGGACATGTTGGTTGGCTTAATGACTTGGTTAAAGTCATATGGGCATTTAGTGACCAGGGATGCTAACCATCCTATAATGAACAGGAAAGTTCCGCACGATGAGGAATCGTTCTATCAGAATGCTAACAGCACCTCCCTTGAGAAATACTGAGCCCCCTCCAACATTCAGGGCAGACCAAAGCAGGAAAGGAAGGCAAAGTGAAGAGAGGAGGGCGGTAAGAGGACCAGCAGTGCTCCATCAGAAGTGACGCAGTTGAATAAAGGCTGCCTCAGCCCTGTCCACCTCCTTCCCCCGCCTCCAGCAACACTTCTCACAGCACCAAGCCCCTAGTTCTCATTCCCTACCACGTAAAAGTATCTTGGGTTCAGATTTTAAATTACGTCTTTTAAAAATGTATGTCTTTATTTTCGTATCTTTTCATTTGTTCCAATTATGATAGTTTCTGAGCAACTAATGTTGGTACTAGTAATAGATAATATCAACTGATAATTCTTCCATGCTGCTAGAGGGCTTAATTACTAAATTTGTGCTATAATACGTCTGTCAGAAAATTTACTTCAGGGACTAATTCTTTAGGGGATAACTCCTCAGAGCTTAAGCCTGTGAATTAATACCCTCTTATGAAACACTTTCTCGAGTCACGCTGGGGCTTGGAAGACGGGGAGGTGAAAACTCTCTTGCCACCCCTCCCAGGCTCTTTCTTAAGCTCTAGGCAGTATCAGCAGAGACAACCTGCACAAAAAAGCCTCACCACCGAGGGTCAGGCTGTGGAGAGACCAAATGCAAAGAGACAGCTCAGCAGCCTCGGATTAAAGCGCAAATATTTTAGAGGCAGTGCACCCGGTTATGTCAAAGAGACGGGCCCAGGGCACATCTGTAACAGACAGGTGGCTACAGCTAGGTAAAAAGTTCAGCAAGACCCACTCACAGACTGAAAAGCACCCCAGGATGAAGAAGTCCAAAATGCAACCCTGTTTTAAATGAGGTGATGCCTTGCTGTAACAAGCGCATGCTGTCATTACCAGTGTGGGTTTCTGACAAAGAGGTTCCTTACAGACTGAAGCAGTGCTGTCCAACAGAGCTTCCTTTGGTGGTGCATCAATATGGTAGCATTTGTTGCAAATTTTTTAAATGCATAATAATTACAGGGACCAGAAACACAGCAAGGCCAGACTCAAATCTGCCAGGACAGTTTACATCCAGTCCCTGCACTGGCCCTGCCTTAGAGTCAAACTGAGGCTTTCTAGTAAAATGATGTGATTGCTTCAGGTCTAGGGCAGGGCGATGGCCTCCTTCACCATTCCAGCACAGTTCTAGAAGGCTATCAGAAGAACGCATGCCATACCAAAACATTTTATGTATCATTCAAAGCACGTGTGTTACAATAACCCCCTTTCCGTACTCCCAACGAAGAGGAAAAACAGAAATGCAAAAGTTCTAAAATAAAAACAGATTCCTCCAAACATTCTCTGGTCTTTACTGTGTTTACAACCTGCGAACTCTGTTCTAGGATCAGCAGTCTTCCGGAAGGATATTTCTCTTTGGGGGAGTTACTGTTTTATGTCGTTTGGTCTGATTACACATGAGTCACCTTAAGAGATCAAACTCTCCCACCAACCTCGTCAAAAGCAATTGGCTTGACTGCTCTTCTGAACAGCCTTCTTTCTGCCTCCTCCACTCTACCCCTTTCTTAACTTTCCAAAAGCAAGCCTTTATCCAGAGTATGTTGTTGCAAGGAACTAGAACATGAAGCCTTCAAATAAACTGAGAACCCAGTCCTGCACACCATTCCCCACAGCACCGACTCTCCACCCTTCAGACTCCCGCTGCTCCGCAGCCCCCGCCTTCACAAGGATTAAGGGTGGTCCTGCAAATCTGAGGAGACAGGTATTATTCCTTAGCATTTCTAGAGCTCCCAAGTAGTCACACACTGCATACACATCCCTTCCTTAGGCTGTTATTAACACTGTGTCTATTTTACAGGTAGGGAAACTGTAGCAAAATGAGGCTCAGTGATTAAAATACATTCCCGGAACAACAAAGAGCAGGAGAAAATCACGGAATGCCTCCAGCAGCCGGTTCTCAGGCAGGGCTGGCGTCCCTCCCCCGCCCCCCAGGGAGGGTTGGCAGTGTCCAGAGACATTTCTGACTGTCATGACTGAAGGGGGAGGCGCTACCAGCATCTAATGGGTAGAGGCCAAGGATGCTGCTAAACACGCTACAGTGCACGGGCAGCGCCCACAACAAGGACACGATGGCAGTGCTGAGGATGCGACCCTTGATCCTCTGGCACCTCCAGCAAGACTCCCTTTGACCCCTAATCAATAGCTAAAGAATGGCTCCCTCTATAATTTGATCCTTGTATGGTGTTTACCCAGGAACATGCCAGTCGAGTGCTATTCCTGGCAGGCTATACTTGTTACTTTTAAACTGGAAGACGTATGGGAGCCACCGAGGGAAGGGAGAAAGCTAGCGAAGTCCAGCTCCTTTCCTTTAACGAGAAAGCCTGGTGAGGACCAGGTCTTTTCCTTAGCGACCCCCAAGCCCTGAGCGGGGTTCTGTGTCTGCCTGCTCACCTGGGCCCTTTAGCTGTTGACGTGCTCTGCAGCTGCCTTTCTCTGCCTTGCTCATCACTAAGCACGTGGATCACGCCAGAGCAGTGATGATGGACGCTCATGGGAATCCCCTTAGTTCTCCAGCCCCTAATGGTCTATTTTGTTCAGTAAATTGTACTCATTACTGAGCCATGTGAGGCACCGGAGGACATCGGCATTTCTGGGTGCCCTCTGTCTGAGCCTGGGTAATGGACATTGTCTGACAAGGCTCCACAGTACTGAACTCCACCTGGTTTTCCAGCTGAGTCCTTTTTTTAAACCTCCTGGTCCCCTCTCTCCTAACCATCCTGAGTTATGCTTAGATCTGTATTAATTATAATTTTTCTCTTTCAAGGAGGCTGGTTTTAGCTTAAGCTCTATAAGTGGAGAGCTCAGACAAGATGGGACGCCTTTTGCACCCCTCCTCCCAGACCTCTGCCTGACCTCTGAGAAGGGCACACCCAACAGTGGATTTCTCCCTCTGGTCTCAAAACTCTTCAGTACAAATGAAAATCCAAAGCCAGCTTTGGTTATAACACTCCCATCCACTGCACTAGGGACTGCAAATAGATGAGGAGGGGACGGACATGTGACTTCCAGTGAGACTGGATAAAATGAGATGAAGCGGGCAGAACCAGGTGCTTTGATAGTGCTATTATCCACCAAGCTGGGAGTCAGCAGCTCTCTGGTAAGCTGTCCCTCCCACCCCGAAAAAAGTGATTAATGCAGGAAAAGTTAAGCAAAGTGACCCACTGGGGGGAGGCGGGGAAGGACGAGAGAGGAGAGAGCAGATATGGTGACAAGAAAAGGGCAGTTGAGCCTAGCTCCCTGCTCAACAGTGTATCTCAGGAAGGCCCCCACCCTCCACGTAAATCGCGCTCCATACAAAGTCATGAAAAATTCTTGTGTTGCAATATTTCCACACACAGATTCCATCCTACCGCCCTGATCATGATTTTAACTTTGTAAGTGGTGATCTGAATGGTGTCTATGAACTGAATCACTAAAGGCTTCTGGAACCTTTCACAGTCAGGGCACCGCATTGTGCTGACTCCAAGGGGCTGTTGAGACAAGAGTAAAACCAGAATAATGCCAGAGAAATGCCTTTGACTTACCCTGGAGTAGAGGGTGTGAGAGCCTTCAAACGCACTTACATCCTCACCACCCATCAGCTCTGCTGCCTTTCACCACTCACTCACTCCTGCATGTTGGACCACAACTGATCGATCGCCAACTACCAAAGACGAAAAATGAATGAATGTATTAGGCCAAAAGATCCACAACTTCAAGTCCCAAGCCACAGCTCCAGAGAATTTCTTAGAGTAGGCTAAGTGCTTACTACATAGGCCCAAACACATACAATGGCTCAAGCTCAACAAAAGATTATTTCTGGTTCCTGTATACGTAGCAGACAAGTAAACAGTCAATAGAGTGTCCCTCCCTGATCCCTGACCCAGGCTGACAATGGTCCTGCCGGCCTTAAACATGCCTTCCAAGCTCACCCTAGGGGCCCTCTCCGTTCCAGCCTGCGAGAGTATAAAGCAGCATGGAGGGCCTCCCATGGGAGCTCTCTTTTTGGGTTTTCCCCTAGAAGAGGACCACAACACCTTTCTACCTCCACTCACATTCTTTTGGCTAGAACTCAGCTACACAGCCACACCTAAGCCCATGGGTTGCTGGGCAGCTAAGAATCAGTCTCTGTCACACAAGCCTAACACCAGCCCAACCAAGAAGTCAACGTCAGGGTTAGAGTACGGAGTTCTCGGTGAGACACGAGCACAGAAAACTGTTACTTAACAACTCTGAGATCTGCTTTCCCAGTTTCCTCATCTGTTAAATACACTGCTTCCCTTATCGACCTGTGTGGGTCAACTTGAGGCTCAAAGCAGCACTTCTCAGACTTCTGTGTGCACGACAGCACATGGTCATCGTGAGACAATGCAGAGTCCCACTCAGCAGCTCCTGGCTGAGACCTGAGGCTGCAGGACTAGCGAGCTCCCAGGTGATACTGATGCTGCTTTTCTCTGAGCACACTTCAAGCAGAAAAAAGATGAACAATTTGAGAATATTTTTGCATACCACAAAGTGATTTGCAGATATAAATAATTATTATCCTGGATTGACTTTGATCATAAATGAACTCCCAACTAGCCAGCACTGTCAGGATATGTTTAGTGTAGGTAACAGAATTTTATATAGCCGCAGGATTTTGGAATTAGAAAGAATTTAAGTGGTCACTGCTCTCTCCTCTTATTTTCCAGACAAGGAAACAAACTCAGAGAAGTCAATGATGCTCCCAAAATCTCACAATAACTCAGTGTGCTGGGATAGGAAGTAGAAATTTGACTTTTCTTCCTATTATTACATAAATTCAGTTGTTAACTTTCTCAAGAAGAGAGGGTAATTTTTATTCTTCTGCTAAAGCAAGAATAAATATTACTCTGGCCCAAATCTAAAAAGGTACCAGAAGACGGCATACACCAACATGGGTCACCATGGTACCAGATGTAAGTAAAGGGTCACAGGACAGACATCAAGAGATTTTCAAACAGATGTTCTTCAAAATGTAGTGATCTCCACCAAAGTTATGTCTCACATGTCCAAAATGTGACTTGAGCACAAATTAACTTCTGTGTATCTTATGGCAAAAACAACAGTTTTTATATTCAATATATATGCACCAAGTCACTCCTATTTGGGAACAATTAGAAAAAGAGAGAACTTGGGGTTGCAAATAAAAAAGGGAAAGAAAATAATTACCTGAGGAGGAGCAGTGATCTCTGTGATCACCCCTGGGGACAAATAAAGGAACCTCAAGATTTTTTATCCCTGACACTTAAATGATATTGCATCTCTGAGATCGTGGTGAGTCCTAGGAGCTAACAGCAGAAAGTGAAATGTAGGGCCTCAGCAGTGAAAGCCAAGAGTCCAAACTCCAAGTCCTAAGTCAGAAAGGCATTGACTTACCTAGAAATCAAATCAGACTAGGGAAGAAGGGAGCCTCTTAGTATGCAAGGCTCCAAGAAAGCAGCATAAATTTCAAAGTGTTCTGGTGAAATTAGGAAGGAGTACTTATTGAGCAAAGAATGGTAAATGGAAATCAATACTTGCATATACATCATTAAGATGGATAAAATGCTATTATTAGCATCTTCATTTATTGAGCATGTTCAAGCATTTTAATTAAGGTAAAATGTTCTAAGAACTTCTATAGGTTTACTTCTATACTCCACCCCCAACTCTCTCCACCACAGTGTGTTTAACACCTCAAAAATTATCCCACCCAGGCAATTTCCCAGAATCTATTCTAGACGCTAGAATTTTTAACCTATTTTTGTGCCATGGACTGCCCCCTCCCCTACTTGGCAGTCTGTTGAAGTCTAAGTAGCTCCTTAGAATAATCTGTTAGGTGCACAGAGAAAATATATAAGATTAGAAAGGAAGCCAATATACGGAAATACTCCTCTATCCACATAGCCCTCAGAAGAGTCCATGGACCCAATTTAAGAACATCTGCTTGGGGAATGACTCTTGTAGGGTGCTAAAATATTTTTCTCATAGGAAAGGTTATGTAGAAAAGTTTTAAAAACCCAAGGATGCCCAGTAAAAAATCTTGCTCAGGAACAGTCAGTGAAGAAAAGAATGAGTTGCAAAGGGAAGCCTGACCTTGAATTTCTGCCCAAATTCAACACTATTCATGCTGTGGCTTTAAAATCCTATATTAAGGAATTACTCAGAATTTTCTTGGCTCCAGCCTTGTAGACACAGCATATTCTGCATACTGATGGCAGATGAAGAAGCGCAGCATTGGAGAAGGCAAGATTGAGATGAGCCTGAGGCTGGGTCCGAGTTCTCTAACTCATTCTCTGCCACTAAGCAGCTGTGTTAGCTCTGTCAAGTCACTCAGCTCTGAGCTGAAACTTCCTGTCTACAAAACGAGAAGGTTGAATGAAACCATCTCGAGGGTTTCTTCCAACTCTGAATGATTACAGTTCTAAGACAATGCACAATCATTTCTATGAGAAGAAATTAGTGAGATTTCCTCTTGCCCTAGATTCACAGCATGAAAATACCTTCTAGATGAGAATTTTTCAGATCTGTCAAAAATCTCTTACGAAAATCAGCTGACCACAGAATTGTAGGCTTGGAAGGGATTTTTTAAGAGACAAACACCACATCTCACCAATCCCAGTGACCGGGTGAGAAAACTGAGGTTCAAAAAGGCAAAGAAATTTATCTGAGGACACATAATGAGACAATGTTAGTGGACTGTCGTGACCTCTGCCACCTAGCACCAGCAGGATTTTAGGATTCGACATTTGTAGGGAAAACTAGCTCGTCAGTTCACTTGAAGAAAGACAAAAATAAACCTCAAATAAGCTGAGTTGCAGGACGGGAACGGCAGGAGGAAGCAGGTGACTGGGGTAATGACTCCCAGCAGCAGTGCTCTCTGCCTCGGGCAGGGTCAAAGACTGTATACACTGCACCCTCACTGGCAAGTACACCTCCTCCCTCAAACACCATGGCTACAAAATCCACCTCAAAGAACAGTCAGTTACAAAAAACAGAAAAACAGATATTTCAAAAGAGGGGAATGGCTGAACGAACTCTGGCTAGTAAGGTCAATAAAACCAAAGTTCAAGATTTGGATTGTTGTTACAATCTCAAAAGGACAGAATTAGCTGAGACAATCTTCAATCTTAAAACACTTGTTAGGAATTTTTAAGTTTTAGAAGGAACTGATTCAGAACAACTTGACTGACCTTGTGTGGACAGCCCTGAGATACAGTAACTACTTAATGAGCATTACTTTTCCTAATACCCTCACCACTATCTTCAAAGCATGTAATTACTGAATACCGGTCAGGTTTGAAAGTCACATGTATTTCCACAGTCCCATTCATGTTGGTAGACTAGTTTTATTAGCAAAGAGATAGAAACTATGAAGTTGTCGGTAATTTTGACTGAGTTGATTTCAGCCTCACATTCAATTAACCATCATGTATGCCAAGTGCTTTCAAAACCTGTGCTGTGATGCTTAATTGTCAGCTTTCCCTTGTCTTTTCCCACACACAACCAGCAAAGTAATCGCACTCATGCCTAACACACATTTCCCCTACCTTATATAAACATCTCGGCTTTAAAAGAAATTTTTTAAAGGTTATCTTTGGGAATTGACACAGTCTTTCAAAATCTTCTAGACTAGAGGCTACACACCACTGGTTTGCCAGCCCTGTATGTCATCTCCTCCAGGAATTCCCAGAGACAGGAGTGCCATCTACTGGCAGGGAGGGCACAACTTGTTTTCTGGAAGCCTGTGGGTGACGTGCCAAGGACCTGAAAGAATGGCAGTCTAGATTGGTGTCTTTGTGAGCCTTTCTTTTCTAGAGCACATTACAAGCATAAATGATGCTAACCACCTAAGACACGGAACTTCACAGGGACCCCCTGATGGAGGGCAGGTTTTCGAGAAGCCACAGAAAGCCCAGCCAAGCTAGCCAATGGTGAGGTCACTCTGCCTGGAAATGCCTCCTCAAGGCTCCAAAGGCAGGCAGCTGAATTAAACACTTCGAGCTCTCCTTTCCCCCAGTGCTTCTGTTATCAGATGATCTCACCCGTCCCCAACCTGTGGCAAATGTTATCCCGCTCCATCTTACAGCAAGCGACCGAGGGCAGGTGCTCAGAGCCCTCGCAACGTGAAGGCTCTTAGATTTACACAATGTGACATAGATCCTGCTCAAAGGACCCTACTGCTTAGGCATGCAGGTCGGACTCTAATCTCTCTCATTCACTCTCTGTCCTCCCTGTCCCTGACCCAGGGGACAGAAAAAGCAGAAAGGAAATGATTTTGTTGTTGCTTTGAAAGCCAACACTAGTGGGCTTTTATTGAATCAGAGAATAAAACCTTGTCCCATAGGTCACCAAGGTATGTTGCTCCCCTCAAAATGAACTAAGGCTGCCAATCTTCCCGTTTTCCCTAGTGTACACTAATAAGTGTTTCTCAACCTTTTCAAAACCCCTGCTGCCCTTCCACAGGCTCAACATAAACACTGCTTGCCCTTTGTGTAGTTTATATAACAAAAGTGACATTTTTCTCTCTTGACACAAAAGCATGTACCTTTTCAAACTATACCACCTACTCCAGCCTTAGAATTCCTTCCTCCACTGCATACCAGCTCAAAAACAAGCCACGGACAAATCGTAAAAGTCTTCCCACTAATTTGCTTTATGTCCCAATCAGGTGACATACTTCACTTTATGAGGGTCGTCTTTTATATTCCCAACAAGCTCTGCAGCACCTCCTCTGTCACTTTCATTCATCCCAGAAAACCGCCAGAAGTTGATTCGCTGCAGCTGATAAGTGTTAATTCTGATTCCCCCTAACAAATCTAAGTGTTCCGTCTTCAATTGGCTTTAATTTACCAAGTAAATTGATTTCTTAGCAAGTGCAGGCTTTTCACAGGCAAGGGGTGTGTCTTGGATGTTTGCAAAAGTCCTAAAGAAACAAAACTTTGTGTGGGGAAGGTAAGCGTAATAAAAGGCCTTTGAAGCAGTGTCAGGATGTCTCTGAGGAATCAGTAAGAAAGATTCTCGTCCATCTCCTACCAGAATGAGTTCTAAATGGACGACAGTGAAACTCCAGAATACAGCAACATCCTCCTAATGACAGTTAGTTGAACCATTTCTTACAGAGGAGACTGCTGGGTATATTCAACAAATTAACCAGTGGAAAACTGAAGGGACTTTTTATATTTCATTATAAGACGTACAGTATGCCCTTGCTATTGCAGGTCTGGGGAAATGGAGAGGGAAAGAGAGGCAGGCGATGCCTTCCTTTTTAAAGTATGACTTAAAGGAGACATTCCCCGTCCCCGTTTCCTCGCCCCGCCCCCACGCTGCTTTTGGCATCCAAAGGATCTTCTTTAAACACGCACTTTTCAAAGAATTAAGATCTAAATGGGTGTAATTTAGACCTTGTCTTCCCTCCTCCCTACAGCCTATTAACATGCTGAAAATATGTCATTACTTGCTTAGGCAGCCAGAAAAACCTAAGTTTACAGAGATAATCCCCTATCCCCCCTCCAAAAAAAAAGATTTTCTCGAAGGAGAATCTCAGTGTGATGGTCTGGTCTGCAGTTCACTGCAGGCATCTCCCTCCTCACAATTAGCAGTCATCAGTTTCGCTGCATCTGTAATTTCTCATTGTAGCTTCTCATTTAGACCTCTTATACCAGTACCCAACTGCTTTAAGGAAAACATTTCTTTTTTTATTCTCCTCCTCTGAACGAATCTCAGGATTTCTTCGGCAGGCTGAAAGCGTTCAATTTCGGTGCAACTCTGGGGTGAGAGCTGGCGTGCAGGTCCGGAGAAGCCTTCCAGCGGCGCACCTGGGCTCGGCCCACCGGTCCTGCCCCCACCCCCGCCCTCACAGCTGCGCTAAGAATTCGGCTTCGCTCGCCGCCGCCGGATTAGTTCGAGTCCCGCGGCTTGGCCAAAGTGACACTACATTTTTTCTCCCTTCGTTCTCACCTGTGACAGGTCCCACTGCATTAAAGCCATCTTCTCCCGGGCCCTAGCCCAGGTCTGGCGCCCGAGACGCCCCCGCCCCACCACCCTTCACCCTTTACCTGGGGAGGGGGCCCAATACCAGCATCCCTCCGGGCGGGGAACAAAGGCGGAGGCGAGGCTGCCAGGTGGGCAACTCCCCTCGGGTGGACCCGTCACCGCGGTGAGAAGGATGGTGAGGTGCATTAGAGGGTAGAAAAAGGGAAACCGAGGCACCGAGGAGGATGGCTGAGCCAGGGTCTGCATCCTCCCTGAAGAGAGGCTCCCGGGGCTTACAGACGCCAGCCCTTCCCCAGCCCCGTTCCCCGCACCCGGCCGCAGAAGGGCAGGGGGGCCTTCCCGCCGCGGTGCTTACCTCGGGAGAAGCGCTCCGGCTCCCTCCGACGGCTCCGGAGAAAGCCCCGCCGCTCGCGCACG